TACAAAATGATACAACTCGAATGAATGACTGCCACTGAACTAGTAAATAAACTATGTTCTATTTGCCTTTATCACTGGTAACATTTTTAGTCAGTACAAGGCTTTTTAAAAAAGAAACCAAAAGCAAATTCATGCAGATTTGTCTCTTAGATTTAAAGTGGACAATATCATATTAATCAGACAATAAAAATTAGACATAAGCTTTAACAAGCTCAACAACTCATTATATTGTTTCAAATCATAGTAGATTTGAGCAGTACTACATGACATAACCAAGGAAGACTCAGTGAAGTAACTAGTTTACCTAATGATTTCTGACAACATGATGATAATGAGCCGAAGCTCAAAATCCGAAGAACAAACCAAAAAATGTATGTTTCGAGATTATCGAACCATTGCAATGATTCAAGGATTAGCATTCCTTTTGATCCTGATAGCTGGCACTAGAGTCAACAAATCAAACCACAGATGATCCACTTAACCAAAGAAACACATTTAGGCCATCTCCAACAATGACACCAAAACACCAAATGTGGTGTAAAACCATCTCCAACAAAGCATTAAATTTGACATCATCCCACCAAATTTGACGTAATGTGAATAGTATTACATCAAATTTGGTGTAACACTATTCATCATCCCAAATCTTTAAGTACATATGATATTCTATTTCATTTAATAATGTAGTTTAATTATTCCTATTAATTAGTTTAAGTTTGCAAATAAAAATAAATGTATTGTATTATTTGATTTTTTACATAATTAATTTGTTTGTTCTTTTCAATTGATAAATCATTGAATTTTTATATTAATTTTCAATAATATGAATTTTAGTTAGTATCAAATTTAAATATAGAAAATAATACTATAAGCTAGATTTAAATAGTAAGTAATTAAAATAATGTTTTATACTATTAAATTTATCAAACATTAAGACAATTTTATTTTATTTTATAATATAGTTAAACTTGTATTACTAATTAATATAGTTAAAAATTTTAGCAAACATAATATCAAAGTTTGATTAAATAAATATTTATTAATTAAAAAATTATAAATATTATTAAATTTAAAATATTAAATAATATATAATATTCCATTTGGTATAAAATTTGGTATCATTCTTAGAGATGAAAATAACAATTTGATACCAAAACACCAAATTTGGTGTAATTTCAACACTAAATTTGGTGTTATTGTTAAAGATACTCTTGACAATAACGCAAAAAAAGACATGCAATCAACCTAGAAACTGATGCAACTAAAAAAAAATGAGCAAAATCTAAGATATGAAAAAGAAAAAAATTCTGTAAATATAGAAAGCTATAGAATGAAGAAAATAAACTAAACAAAAACTGTACGTTGGTTGCCGAGAGAGAAAGTAGAGAGATAAAGTAGATCTCCGGCGAGTTTTCTGGCCGACGGCGGTGGGCTTACACAGACACGTCGTCGGTCAGGATTTGTTGTTGGTGTTTGGTGAATAAGTCTGTCTGTTTCTTTGTGTTTCCGGTGGCGCATCTTCTTTCCGGTGGCCGGCCGGTTTTGGATTCCGTTGTAGCACCTGTTCTATAAAGGTGGACGATCGACTTAGTTTGATTCTAGCTTGAGCGGTGCATCTCTGTTATGATGGTCGTCTTTTGTTCCCGAGAAGCGGTGGCTCATCAAGCACCGTCTATCGCCGGTTCGTGTCTCTGTCGTCTCTGCCTTCCTTTGGTAGTGTACGGTCAGATCTGGTTATGTCTTAAAACGAGATTCCTGTTTAGTGAGATTCTCTTTTCTTGTTTTTGGCTTCGTTCGACGGATGACATCTCAACGCAGTTTTGATGAAAGCTCTCTGTTGAAGAAGCGACAGTGGTGAAGACAAAGAGATGGTGGTGGTTTTAAAGTTGCCTGCAGTGATTTTGGTTGGTTGGGATGAGATCTCGGGCTCGTCTCGAAGAAGCTCTTCGGTTAAAAGAGTAAAGGCAAGGGTTATCGATGATGTGGTTTGATTACGGCGAGATCTAGAGAAGCCGGGGTCGAGTATTTTCTCCGTCGTCAGTCTCGTAGGATTGAATCACGGCGTGTGACACGTGGGCGGCCACGCAAGTAAGGTGGCGCTGCACAGATTAGGGCTGCTTTAGGGTTTCCTTGGTTTCGGGCCTTGTACTGAGCTTTTGTTTTAATATTATGTTTTATTGTATGTTTGGGCTCTTTTGGGCTGAATCCCATTTATAAAACAACCAGATGACAAAAGAAAAAAAGAAGAAAAGAAACTAAACAGCATTAGGAATAAATCCCAGCCAAGTGAGAGCCCATCAACATCGACCGGAAAATCAGACTTTAATTGGAAAAAAGAGAGAAGGCTCATGATTGGTTCACTCATATAG